AGGACGATGGGCACGGTGATGATGACGTGGCACGACGACGGCGATCCCGTCGATGACGATGATGACGGGGCACAATGACGACGATCGCTATGATGAGGATGATGACGTGGCACGACAACGACGATCTCGACGATGATGTTGATGATGGGCAGGTGTCGACATCGAAGCAGGGTGGGTCGGGCGGTTTCGAACCGCTCCAATACCAGTGTAACGAGCGGGAGGCTGAGGGAGACAGGGAGAGCCGAGGGAAAGGAGAGAGAGAGGGAGAGAGTGAGAGCACACACACACACTCACTCACTCGACACGACTGAGGGTCGGACGCAGACACAGGGGCAAGGACATAAAGTCAAAGTCTTGGATTCCGAATGCCGAAACAGCAAGTCACACTGAGTACGAGTACAGCAGCCGAAAACTGGTACGAGACTGGTCCCCGTACCGTACGGGGAGCCGGTATAAGTACCAGTGACACGTACGGTACCAGGGGCATTTCTGCAAAGGCCCCCAGGGCAGAACTGAAAAATGCAGTATTTGAAAGTGGCGCCAGTTGTCCAAAATCCTACGGTACCAAAGGAGGGGTTTGGAAAAAGGGTGCCAGGCTGAAAACGGGATGCAGACGAAACAGCAAAAAGATAGACCAGGGATCGAGCCCTGGCAGAGTCCGTAACAGGACCCAGACGACAGGTTCGGCACCCTGCCACCACTCGATGAAACCATCAGACACGCACGATCGGAATCCTCTTTCAAAACCCGTTCGCACTGCAGATGAAGATCTCTGACGCGTTGCCCTCGTTCTTCGCCCTGCACTTTCCACAGTGTGAACCTTACCTTCGACAGCTGCTGCCATATCTCCTCAGCCATTGCGATACCACTATTCCCACCTCGAGCAAGGTCCAGCGCCTTTTCCAACTCACATACCCCCCTCGCCGAATCCTTGCGCCGCAACAGCGCCAAGCCAAGCATGAAATGAGCCTTCACTGACTCCTTGTCCAGCTTCAAAGCCGTGAAGTGGTGTAAAGTGGTTGGCTCTGTGAAGTGGTGTTCGGAATGTTGAATGCAGCGAAGCAGGTGGAGGCCTTAAAAAATCAAGGAAATGAATACTATATGAAACAGAAGTTTGGGGCAGCTATCGATATGTACACAGAGGCGATCGCGCTGTGCCCGAAAGTCCCTGTATACTGGACGAACAGGGCTGCGTGTTTGGGACTGATTTTGTCTGGTCTGTTTTTGTCTGTTCCAGATGGTGTCGTTTTTTGCTTTTCTTTTGTCCGAAGAGGCACTGGTGCCTGTTCAGACCAGTGGATCTTGCTTTTCACCATTGTAGCCTAACTTGAAGGCCAGGTACATTTTTGTCCACATACGGACTGGACCAGGCATTTGTCCGTAGTGCCTGGCCCAGTCCTCGTGCATTCTGGACCAGCGCTGCTGCATCAGCAGAGCCGCCTGGAAGTTCGGTAGGGAACCAGGCAGGTTGGGTTAGGCCTGAGACGCAGAACCAGGACTTGGGCCTGCCATCAGGATCATCGACTCTGGATCAGATGGTCCTGATTGCAGACCGAGTGCAGCCCAGCCAGGTCCAGCGTATATAGCTGGGCCAGTCCTCCAGTTTGGAGTCTCTGGACAGGGAGTGCTGGAGCACCAGTTGGGAGTCACGCTGCTGGAGTACAGCGCCAGTTTGGGAGACCTGGGATAGAGTAGCAGCGTTAGAGGAGAAGGAGGGTAGTCTGGAGTGGAGAGGCTGGCGGTGGCCATAGCCACAGGGGAGAAAAAGACTTCCCTGGCTGCCATAGCTGGGACATCATTCCGGCTCAGGACCGGCCTTCTTCAGCGACCTACATCAGTTGAGTGATGATCCCTCACTGGTCAGTCTTTGTGGGGACCATCATCATGAAAGAGAGAGAGAGGGGATTTCTTCTTCATCTTCTTCAGACCCTCCATAGCCGCTACTTCCTCCTTATTGCGTGCGCGCGCGCGCGCGCGCGCGAGAGAGAGAGAGAGAGAGAGAGAGAGAGAGACTATTTCGGGCCTGATAGTGCCCAGGAATCAGATTCGACATTTTGAGGAGACGGTTGCTGGGCTTTGCTGGGGGAGACTATTGTCAGCAATCTTGAGCTACTCTTCTTGTCTTCTCCCTTGGTTCTCCTCCGTCTCCGCTCTCACCTCCATCATCTGTGGCTATTCACCCAATGTGTGTGTGAGAAAGGAGGGTACACCCTCCTTGACCTTTTACATATGTGATGACGTTTGTGTGTCAAGCTCTGATTCAGCTGACTCAAATTATGATCTGAGTCTTCCGCTGTGCTACATTGCATTAAATTGCCTTGATTTTGATATGCATTGCTTCCTGGTTGATCACGTTGCTAGTTTTTGAGTCTTTCATTCACATAGGTGGTCTTTTGGAGTCTACTCACTGCCTGTCTGTTGATAGGCAGGCATCATTACTCACCGTTGGGCGATGTCTGTTTTCTTGCATTTCCTCATGCAACATTATGGCAGTCTCTAAGTCGCCGCTCTTTCCCATGGCATCAATCATCATTGTGTAAGTCACAGCATTTGGATGCACACTGCACAGGTAAGAACCAACAACAGCAGGAATGTCAGAGTCAGATTGAGCACGGCACACTTGAGGGGCAGATCTGCAGTTACACGGCAAAGTCCGGATGCACAGTGCACAGGTCATAACCAACAGCAGGAATGTCAGAGTCAGACTGAACACAGCACACTTGAGCGGTAGATTTGCAAATTACACGGCAAAACAGGGCACACTTGAGGGGCAGATCTGCAATTACACGGTAAAATCAAGATGCACACTGCACAGGTCAGAACCAACAACAGCAGGGATGCCAGAGTCAGACTGAGCACGGCACACTTGAGCGGAAGACCCCAAATTACACGGCAAAATCCAGATGCACACAGCACAGGTAAGAACCAAACAACAGCAGGAATGTCAGAGTCAGACTGAACACAGCACACTTGAGGGGCAGATCTGGAATTCAAATCACAAGTCACAACCAACAACAGAATGTCAGAATCAGACTGAACAGGGGAGACTCGAGGGGCAGAGCTGAAACTACATGACGAAATTGGGGTGCAAGCTGGAAAGGATAGAATCAACAGCAGGAGGAATGTCAGAGCCAGCTGAACATAGCAGACTTGAAGGGCAGAGCTGAAATTACACGACAATATTTGGATGCACACTGTACAGGTCAGAATGAACAGCGGCAGGGATGTCAGAGAGATCCCTGAACAGGGCACGCTTGAGGGGTAGATCTGAAATTACACGACAAAATGTGGATGCACACTCCACAGGACAGAATGAACAACAGCAGGAATGTCAGAGTCAGCAGATCTAAAATTAAGAGAGGAAATCACGGGTGAAAACATGCAAAGAAGGGAGGACCATAGTTGCCATTTATCGTATCTAAATTTGACAAGACTCTTTGGAATGTAGGTTGATATCTGCATGCTGGTACAGGTCATGCACCTGGTCGCCTGCATGTCTAAGTGCACTCTGACCATGTATGGCGATCTCAGAATTCCAGGCGCGATCAGTGGCAATCACATCCTCCTAGGAAAAATGGCCCTTGTACAGCTGGGCACATGTACGACATCTTGCCAGCGATGAAGCAATAGCTTCCGCACACATGCTTCTGTTTATTGTGTGTTACAATGTGTTTAATACTGTTTTTCAGTGCAACTTTGAGCAAATGGCTCCAGTCCATTCTGATGCAGAACTCTCTCTCTCTCTCTCTCTCTCTCTCTCTCTCTCTCTCTCTCTCTCTCTCTCTCTCTCTCTCTCTCTCTCTCTCTCTC